AGAGAGAGAGAGCACATCTCGGAAACAAAACGACGCAATTCGGAAACAAATCAAAGGAAAAAAAAAAAATCAACACCAAAAAAACAAAAGAATACCACACGAACGAAAAAATTTAAATTACAAAAATACGAAAATGAAAAGAAAAAAGAAAAAAAACAGGATCAAAACCGAAAACATAAAAAAAAAAGGTGCTGGGGCTACAAATCAGAGGGCTCTCCTCCGAGATGTTCATCCGCATCGACGCCCGCCATGTGCCACGCCCCGGGGGCTTGCACTCACGTTTAATGGCGCGTTATGAATAATTCGGTACGCGCATGGCTCTGTACACCGCCCTCCCTCAATCGCCTTCATCCGCCGGCCTGATTCAAAACTTCGGCCCGATTCCGGCGTGCAGCGGAACACAACCTCCCCCCGCGGGCCGCTCGCGCTTGAGGGGTAGGATTCGACATTTGCACATCCTGCATGAGGTGGGGCTGGACCCCAGCATCCAGGAGCACTACTAGGACCCTCAGGAGAGAGAGAGAGAGAGTGGGAGAGAGAGAGAGAGAGAGAGAGAGAGAGAGAGAGAGAGAGAGAGAGAGAGAGAGAGAGAGAGAGAGAGAGAGATGTGTCTGAAGCTGGCAATGACAAAGACTAATCATATATTGATTCCATGTTCATTGATCCTCATTCATTCATTATTTGTTTTTATATTTGATTAATAAGATGAGGAGGAGATTATGTGAGGGATGAGGATGGAGGCCAGTCGAGGAGGGAGGTGACGTTGGTTCAATYTTGTGATACCTCTTTTTCTTTTCATTGTTCTTCCCTCTCTTTTTCCTTATCTGGCTTGTTTTTTTTTTTCTCTTGTTCTTATTGTTTTCCCCCTTGTTCATCTGTCCGTTGGAGGATACCGCCTCAAAGTCGATTTTTTGCATCATGAATTGAGAAGGGTTTTGCATTGAAACAAAGAAAATCTGGCAGTATGTCAAGCCAACACAGTGTGCAGCCTTTGAAGAAGAACAAATCCATCTCCGAACAGAACAAGGATACCTGTTATTCATCTGTCCGTTGGATGATACCGCCTCAAAGTCGAATTTTTGCATCATGAATTGAAAAGGGTCTTGCATTGAAACAAAGAAAATCTGGCAGTATGTCAAGCCAACACAGTGTGCAGCCTTTGAAGAAGAGCAAATCCATCTCCGAACAGAACAAGAATAACTTTTTGAAAGAAAAAGAAAAAAGAAAGAGAGAACAAGGATATATCTTAAATGAATGCAGAGGAACCAACCTGTACAGGAGAGGGCATTATTACACTGGATAATAGTGGATATATATATATATATATATATCGTCACAAATATATATATATATATATATATATTGTATATATATAATATATATATATATAGCCCCTCATTTGTTGTCCTTTTCTCTCTCTGTGCCTACGGTTTACCAGGCAGTTCTGTTTGTGACGATATATATATCTATATATATATATATAGATATCTATATATATATATCTATATATCGTCACAAACAGAACTGCCCGGTAAACCGTAGGCAGAGAGAGAGAAGAGGACAACAAACGAGGGGCTGTGACAAACTGTTTCGTCGGAGTTTCACCGATATATATATATATATATATATATATCGTCAAATAGAACTGCCCGGTAAACCGTAGGCAGAGAGGGAGAAGAGGACAACAAACGAGGGGTTGTGACAAACTGTTTCGTCGGAGTTTCACCGATATATATATATATATATAT